TGTACACCCAGCGTCGAGGTCACTGTGAACGCGGGCAGCCCCGTGCGCCCGCCCCGCCGGCACCGCACGCCCCGGCCCCTCCTGCCCGCCACGCTCTCGTGGGTTTTTTACCTTCCTGACCCCACGCGAAGGCTCCCGGGCTGGGCCGGGGCCGGCCTCTCCACCCTGTGCCCCTCACCTGGAAGCCCACCTTCCTGGTCCGACGCTTCGTTCCCACTTTCTCCCCAGGGCGCCATCTCTGCCATTATTTCCCCCCGTGGGCCGGGCCGGGCCGGGTCCCCCATCTGGGCTCTGCGTCCCCCCAACCCCGCGGGGCTGGGCTTCGTGGGGGATCAAGCTTCGTGGCTTTTTATGAAGAATCCCCAAACCCGCCTAGGAGCCCGCCCCACCCTCCCAGGGCTCCACCCTCAGCCCTCTGCCCACAGGGCCCAGGGACCACAGTGGCTGGACCAACCCAGGACCAGGGCGCCTGGGCCTCTCCCCTGTCCCAGCGGCTGGGGAGGGGAGATGGGGGCTTCCCCTCACCACACCTGTGGCTGTTCCCACATCCCCTGAGTATCCCAGGAAAAATAAAACCGCAGAACTGCACTCGAGCCACCTGCTCTCTCCAGAAGAGGCTACCTCTGCCCCCCGTGGGGTGCCGAGAAGGGGCCACCTCCGCCTGGTGTGGGGGGCGTGCAGAGAAAGGGCCTGGAGCCTGCCCGCTTGCTTTGGGGCCCAAGGCTTGCCTGAACCCTTCCTGCTGTGGGGCCAGCTTGGAGGGAGGGGATTCAGTCTTTCTGGTGGCCACAGTAAGGACCTAGGCCTGCCTGGAGGGGCCTGGGAGGCATGCAGAGAGGAAGGCATCGACCTCTCCACTTCCCACGGCTCAGCCTGGTTTCCCCTCTGCCCCCGAGTCCTCCTAGGGTATCCCCAGAGAGGAAAGCACTGGGGCTTAGTGTCTGGCGCACAGCGTGTGATCGATAAACAGGGAATGTGGTTATTATTAGGTATTGCGAAATATGGTTTCTTTCCCCGGAGGCCACATTGTTCCTTCTGCTCCAGTCACTCCCGAGAACAGCAGACGAGTGCTGTCACTTCTGCCTCCTGTGCGTGGACACCTTTGGGGAAGGAGGTAGCACAGAGCTTTCTGCAGAAGCCAAGCCAGACCTAGTGGTGATGGCTAATATTTATTGAATGCTCAACATGGTCAGGAAACGGGGAGCGCTTTATGTGAATGGAGCTCGTCCTTATACCAAGTGAGAAAGCTGAAGCTCAGGGAAGGTTAAGTGACCTGTCCAAGCGCACAAAGCTAGGCGTAGAGCCAGGTCTAATGCCAAATCATGGGCTTTTACTTCTAAAACCTCCCCAGCCCCCAAAGGAAAGCCCCCTTTCTAGTCTTGGGGTTGATGCCTCCCACTAGGCAGGAGAGGGAAGCCTTCCAGGAGGTCAGCTGCTCTTTGGGACCACACTGGGCCAGCCCATTCTCATTCATTTACCCAGCCAACATGTATCACTGGCTGCCACTGAGCCCTAAACAATGTTCCTGTCCTTACGGAGCTTATGGTTTTATGGGGAAACCTGGCAAATAAACAATGTAGTTAAACATACAAGCAGCGAGTGCCAGAAGTCACTAGGTCTTCGCCACTGAAGCAGCGCTGGGACTGGGAAGAATGTCCCAAGATCAAGGAGCACTGGTGCAAAGGCCTGGAGAAAAGCCGGTGGGGACTCGATCATGTCAACTTCCAGGTCCTGGTGAGGAGGGCAGGCCTGAGGCCTGAGCAGAGCCATGGCAGGGGTTTGAATTAGAGTGCTGTAAACATTTCCTACAGGCTGGCTTGGAGACTGCTTCTGGAAAGCAGAAGAGTGTGCAGGTATGTGCTCATCTGAGCCCATGGGGGTGTGTGTGTGGGGGCTCCTATGAGGTTTGAATACCCCAAAGCAAATGAGCTTGGAGCTGATCCCATACAGATTCCTGGGCCTGGTCCAAGACTTAGTGAATAAACTCTGTACATGAATGAGTTTCTAACAAGTGCTCCAGGTGATTCTGATGCGCAGCGAGGTTTGGGAATAGAGTGGATGACACTGGCTTTCTCTAGAAATGCTCACTCGTCTGTTGCCCATAGACTTGCTGAGTGAGGCTTGGGCTGCGTTAGTTCTCTGAGATGTTTTCATCTCTAAAATTGGGGCAGGAATGAGTTTTGAACTGCACGATGCTTAGAGCAATCCTACAAAGCAAGACTTGTTATCACCCCCATATGCGAATGAAGAAACTGAGGCTCAGAGAAGTTAAGCAACTTACCCAAGTGCTGAAGTGAAAAGTGGCTGAGGAGCCAGGGATATAGCTCAGTGGTGCAGCGCCTCCCTGGCAAGTGCAAGGTCCTGAGTTCAATTCCCAATACCTGCAAACAAACCAAAACAAACAACAAAACAAAAAAGTGGCTGAGGGGCTGGGGATTTAGCTCAGTGGCAAAAGCGCCTGCCTGGCAAGTGCAAGGTCGTGAGTTCGGTTCCCAGTACTGGAGAAAAACCCAAAAAAAAAAAAAAAAAAAAAAAGTGGCTGAGACTGAGTTTAACCTTCTATAGCATTCAGTTTTTAAAAAAAGGTTCTATGTCTTTTCTCAGAAACAGGGCTGGGTTTCCTGGAGTCATGAGGTAGGTGCAAATCAGTATGAAGGAAGTAACGATGGTTATCCCACTACGAGCATGATGTCTAAAATCTCCCAGGCTGGGGATATAGTTCAGCAGCGTAAGTGCTCGCCTGGCAAGCATGAGGTCATGAGTTCGATTCTCGGTACCAAAAAAACCTCTCCCTTGATGGTGCTGATGTGTGTGTGTGGGTGTCTAGTCCTTGTGGTCTGAGTCTGGTCGTAGCCAGCACATGAACAGGAAGTTATGGCACAAAAGAAGGGCCCCTCTCCCAGAAGGCCTGAGGATTATAGGAGGAAGGGTCCCTAGCAATCAGGGTGTCTTAAGTCTTCGTGCTGCTCCGATAGAATACCTCAGATGAGGTAGTTGGCTCACAAATTTGTATGCTGGGAAGTCCAAAATCAAGACACCTAAAAGCAAGGCAGGGTGGCTTATAGTTCCAGCTACTCAGGAGACTGGGCAGGAGGATCATTTGAGGTGACAGACTAGGACAGTGACGTGAAGAGCGTGGAAATGTAGCTAGAAGGATCCATGAGAGGGCCAAAGTGGAGATTTCATGGTTTTGTTTGAATTCCTGAAAGACCTTTTGGTCAGAACGGAAATGGCCTGGAGGGGCAATGGGACGGCAGGGAGACCATCATGAGAGTGCTAAAGTGGTCCAGGTAAGAGAGGATGAAGTCGACCTTGAGAGCCACTTAGGCTCAGGTTCCACAAGCTGGGACTGGGGAGGAATGTAGAGAGAAGGCCTTGAAGATGTCATCCGGGTTTTGGTTTAATGAATGACCAAAAAAGGATGTAGGACATTGCAGAAGAAGGAATGGATTTGGGGAATACTTAACATGTCAGTAACCATGTCCTGAACATTTCTTGAGGCAGTGCCAAGTACTTTGCCACGCACTACATGCACGTTAAGGTGACTTAATACACTTCTGGAAGGTGAATCCTATTGTCTTTTAAGACAGAGTCTAAGTAGCTTACCAGAGAATAGCAGACAGCAGAATCAGAAGTTGAAACCATGGGCGTCTGGTTTCCAGGTCTGGACTGGAGAGTCCTCCTCAGTTCTGCCCGAGGGAACTGCTTAGTACTCAACATGCAGCTCGAGAATGTTCCTCTAGGGAGCCTTCCCCGATTTTTTCCTGGCTGGGCATCCCATTTCTTACACTAAGGTGACGTTTTGTAGATGCATCTGCTTCCTCTTCGGTGAGAGACCTGAGGACAGGGATGGTCCCAGTCACTTTTACATGCCCAGTTAGCACCTGTGGATTGTCTGGCTGAATGCCAGTTATGCGAGGCAATTCCATTCTCTTCTCCTCTACATATTCACCGAACAAGTAAATCAGTTCTGCTAAAAATAAGTCTCCTAAATATGTCTTCATGCTGTTTTTAATGTCTTCATCTTTACTGGCAAGCTTAGCTTTGCGCTGTTTGCAATAACGGAGGAAGGGTCTGTAAGCTGATAATGTGGTCTCGAACACCTCTTAGGAAGGTGACGCATGAACTTGAAAAAAACAAGCCAGCGCTACTTTGGTAAAGAAAGGAGGGAAGGGGCCGGGGCATAAGCGCCTGCCTGGCAAGCTCAAGATCCTGAGTTCGATTCCCGGTCCCCTCCCCACCAAAAAAAAAAAGATAAGAGGGAAGACTGCTCCAGGTAGATGCAAAAGCATAAGTCAAAGCAGACGTATAAGCAGTTTGATCTTTGTATGAGGTTAGGAAGGAGTTAGTATGTGTTACTAAACACAGCAAAATACGTCAGGCTGAGATCAGGGGAATGAGGTTGGGAAGGCAGGGCCATGGGGGGGCATTAAGGAGATTGAGCACTGGGGCATTTTTGGTATGCGTTAAACATCTATTCAAAGTACTGCGGAGACACGGAGTAGGGAGGGAATACTTATTTCACGACTCGTGTAACACAGGTTTTACTGTAGTTCAATTATTTGTAGACTCGAAATAGCTACCATCTATTTCTGTGCCTGGCACAGAACTTTACGTACACGATCTCCTCTAATCCTGAAAACATCCCTGCTACATGGATGTTATCGCCTCTACACAGAAGAAGGGCGGCTCAGACAGATTAATAATATTCTCAAGGTGACACACGTAGCAAGTTAGCTCGGCTCCAATAAGGTTTTAAACAGTGGATTACACTCTGCTAAGGAAAGCTTCTTCTAGGGATCATCTCTTATGTTTCTGCGTATCCGACGTGGGTTTTAGGAGACGCCTAATAAACGTCAGTTGAATAAGCGAAGAGATGATTTTCCATTTTCTCGGAGAAACGCACGGGGCGACGTCGCCGGGAACCTCCTGGCCGCCAGGGGGCGCCGTTACAACCGCAGGCCTGGTTGCGGACGTCCAGCTTCCTCTCGTCCCTCGTCCGGCGCTCCGGGAGCCCAGCGGGCCGGGGGGCGGGGTCACCGGGCGACGCCCCGCGGGCCGCTGGGAGCGGGGACTTCCGTGCTCCCGGGCGAGCGGGCGGAGAGCCGAGGCCGGGCGGAGGAGTGCGGGCTGGGCCGCGGGTGAGCCCCAGGTCGGGAGCGCGTTCCCTTCCCGGCAGTGGCTGTCGGGCCGCGACTTCCGAGCGAGGCGAGGAGAGACCGGCAGTGCGCGCTCCGCCCCAGGCCGGGCCCGGCAGTGCCCTCGCTTCCCGGCGCCCCGTTGCCCAGCCGGTCTTCCGTGGCCAGCGCTTCTAGGCCTCGGGCACCTGAGTGAGTGCGGGTGTTGGCGAGGCTGTGAGCGTGGCGGGGTGAACCTGGGGGACTGGGAGCCCGGGGGCGGGGCGGCAGCGCACTGAACCCTGACCTCGCGCTCGCGTCCCTGCTTCGGGCCCCAGGGACAGTCGGGGCACATCCTGGTCGGCAAGTCTTGAATTTGACAGCGACGCTTCGGGTCTCCAGGGCAGGTTTCCCTGCACCGCGTTGTCTAGTGTAGGGCTGGACGGTTTGGCAGGCCGCCTCCAAGCCAGGCTGGAAACACGCGTCGCAATAACTGCATACACTTCGCCTCCTCCATTTGTGTAACCCTGGGGGTGACTTTTTGGAGTTCTGGTTTCTCGCAGTCGGCAAAGGCATCTGCTGAGTTCCTGCCACGTGGGTGGGTGACTGCTGTGGTCTTAACTCGTGAGTTGCTTGAGCTGTCATTCATTCGTTCGTTCGTTCGTTCAACAAACTTCTTCAGCTCCTTGTGCCTGAAAGGGTGGGAGAAGGCCGGGCGTGGTAACACATCCCTATAATCCGGGCACTTGGGAGGCTGAGGCAGGATTGCTGAGAGTTTGAAGCCAGCCTGAACTGCGTAGTGAGGCTCTGTCTCAAAAAGTCAAAGAAACAAACAAACAAAAAACCCCAGAGAGGGTGGGAGGGGTGGGGAGCTGGATAGGGCGGAAGTGGGCTCAGTACACTTGGACCTTGTTCTTTTGGCTCCTTGTGGTGCATTGAGAAAGAGCCTGGCGTGGTGGCGCACGCCTGTAATCCCAACGCTCGGGAGGCTGAGGCAGGAGGATCATTGCAAGTTCGAGGCCAGCCTGGGCTACAAAGTGGGTTCAAGGTCAGCCTGGACTGCATAGTGAGACCCTGTCTCAAAAAAGCCAAAAAAAAAAAAAAAATGCAGACAGGTAAGGTAATCCAGCACAGTACTGACTCTGAGAAGATGATGTGTGTTGAGTATCTATGTTGAAAAAATGAATGGGCTTACTTGAAAACGACCAGTATGTAAGCGGGATGTGAAAGAGAGTATTAGTTGTGGGCTGATGCTTGATGTTTTAAGACAAAAATTTATATGGAGAGTTGCTGTTTAGGGAAGAGGACCGGGTGTGATGGCGCACGCCTGTAATCCCAGCACTTGGGAGGCTGAGGCAGGAGGACTGTTGCAAGTTCGAGGCCAGCCTAGGCTGCCTAGTGAGACCCTGTCTCAAAAAGACAAAAAAAAAAAAAAAAAAAAAAAAAAGACAAATACCTTGAAAGGCAGGGAGTAAAATAGGGAAGTGTTAGGTCTGAGTTTCTTCAGGAGCGCCTCTTTTAATGTATTTTACAGATCTCTCAGAATTTACAAAAGTGGAAGCTCGTCTAGCTAATAAGATGCTGAGCTCGTGGGAGGAAAACTGCAGGAGGCTCTCCCTTCAGTCCAGCTTTTGACTGAAGCCATATACCTATCTGCAGATTTTGTGGTTTTTTTTTTTTTTTAGTAGAATGAGCACAGGGCTTGAAGTTGGAGAGGTCTGGGCTTAAAATCAGTGAGTCTGTTGCTCCTCGTAATCTTGGGCAAGTTAGCAGTCTTTTGAGCCTTGTGGCCTTAAGCAAACATTTGCCCTGGTAATTTGTACATCATGGAGGTGTCGTGAGGGTCAGATGATAGCTAATGTGGAAATTGCAGTGTAGGCCTGGCGCTAAGAAAGGATTAGGAATAGGACAGAGGAGACGTGAAGTTGCTGCAGGGCTTTTTCCTCACCTTTAGGATGGTCCGTTATGGTTTTGGCTCCACAAAGCGCTTGAATTCCAAAGAGCATCGGAACTTCTTAGGACAGACATGAGGATGAAAAGAGCATATGAAGTGTGTGTAATTGTTAATAATGATAGTAGTTGTTTGTGACTAAATAGCCATTAAAGTAACCTAGTTTGTGTGTTTTTACGTTACTTTGTTGTGTTGTATTTCAGAAGGCTCTGGGACAGTTGTATTCCCTCCACTCCCACCATGGTTTGTACAGGGGTTTTTATGGAGAACGTTGAATTTTCAAGTCCAGGGACCCTAGAATGTCCAGTGTATATCTAATGGTTTGTCATATTTTTAGGAGTTTACTATGCAAATGTACGGATGTAGGTTTGGTTAAAAATAATATATTTTATAAGAGGTTTGACCGGCAGATTTGTAATGTATAAGTTAAGTGTTACATACATCGTTAGAAAAGCCAAGTGAAGAATAGAGTAAAATATTTATTTTAAATCCAGAAAAGTTATGCCATAGATTATGGTTTGAGCTGTTTAAATATACTCCTTATACTTGAGGAAAAGGAGCTGCTTATCATTGAAGAACCAGGAGATTTACAGTGGGATTATATGTGGTGACTGTCTATCCTCATGGAGAAATTTTGTAGAACAGAGAAAGGCTTCTTTTCCCTTTCTTTTTTTGGTCTTTCTTGAGACAGGGTCTCACTGTACAGTTCAGGCTGGCCTTGAGCTCACTTTGTAGCCCAGGCTGGTCTTGAACTCACAACGATCCCTTGCCTCAGCCTCCCGAGTGCTGGGATTACCGGCTTGTGCCACCATGCCTGGCTCTTTTCCCTTTCTGAAATGTTGGCAGACTGGAGAGGGAGAGCCAGAGGTCAGTAATCTCTGTTGGGAAAGGCTCAGAGGTCCCTTTGTGGGGAACACTGCCATATGTAGGTGCACAATTGTCAAAAGAGAATAGTACGTAAATAGAGATTCTTCCTACCTTCCTTAACGCTGAAGTCTTCCAGCATTTCCTAGGTTATTTCAGGGGCCCAGCTGTTGGATAAATCAGAGTACCCTCTTGTACTACTCTGCATAGGGTGGCTGTCACTGAGTTGTGCCAGGCTGCCTGTTAAGTGGAGTGCCTAGTGGGCTGTCCATTTTTGGTGGAGGAGGGGGTGATTGTTTCTCCCTAATGCTACCTTGTGCTCCTCTGCAGATGTCATGTGGCCTGTCCTTTGGACCATGGTGCGTACCTATGCCCCTTACGTCACATTTCCTGTGGCCTTCGTGGTTGGGGCTGTGGGCTACCACCTGGAATGGTTCATCAGGGGAAAGGATCCGCAGCCTGTGGAGGAAGAAAAGAGCATCTCAGAGCGCCGGGAGGATCGGAAGCTGAATGAACTGCTCGGCAAGGACCATACCCAGGTGGTGAGCCTTAAGGACAAGCTGGAATTTGCCCCCAAATCTGTCCTGAACAGAAACCGCCCCGAGAAGAATTAATGGAAGACTCAGGACCCTGTGGTGAACAGGGCTGTGACTGGGCCTGCCATGATGTCATCCCAGCTCCAGAACGTACATCTGATTTGCTTTGCTGCTTATTCTGGCCCCTTCTGCACCCCACAGCCTCACATGTACTGGCTGCTCCTTTATAGCCAGGGAGCCACAGGAGCAGCGGAGGGGCCAGCCAAGAGGAAGGCTGAATCTGTAGACGGGGGTCCACACGGGCCCGCTGCCCAGAGGAGTGCTGTAAATGAACACTGGCTCTCGGTCTCCTGGGGAGGTGGTCTGGCCTCAAGTGGGAATGGCTGGGATTGGGTGCGCCCTTTAGGAGGGATACGCACAGGTCTAGTTGCAGCTGGCACTGGGAAGAATTCAGAAATCTACCTGGTTCCTTTGACTGGTTTGCTGAGTCCTTTGTGTTCATTTTTTCTGAAAGCCTGTTGTCAGCTCAGGAAAGAGGTTCCCTGGGGAAGGAAAGCATTTTTCTCTTGTCAGGTGCACAGGCTGTTCATGGGGCAGGGAGAAACGTGCCTGGTGAATTTGCCTGAAAAGAGTCACTGTCTTCCACCCCTCATCACTGTGTAGTGAAAACCTTGATTAAAGTGGCATCTGAGAACCATTTGGATGGAATCTTGTCTTCTAGATGGCATTTGGGGTAGGACAGCAATAGCGGTTTAGTACTCCAGGACCTAGAAACTTTATGTTCATAAGTAGTTGCTGTGAATCCTGGAGGACCTGGTTCCCAAGAGCTTTTTTACCATCACAGTAAGAGGCAATAGCTCTTCCGGAGTCCAAAGCTCCCATGTGTACCTCCCCCCTTTTCTCTATAATAAAAGTAATATATGAACATTAAAGTTAATTCAGTAGGGATTAGAACAAGGTCACCAGTGCTCCCAACACTATGATACAATTGATATTAGAATGTTGGGCATGGTGGCACACACCTGTAATCCCAGCACTCAGGAGACTGAGGCAGGAGGATCATCGTGAGTTTGAGAACAGCCTGTGTGAGCTCACTAAGTGAGCTCAAGGCCAGCCTGAACTGCATAGCGAGACCCTGTCTCAAAAAGACAAAAAAAAAAATCAACCGATGTTAGAATTTTGTTATCTTTTTCACTGCTTTTCTGTGTAGTTTTTAAAGGTAGTTGTACCACTATACTCTAAATTTCACATTGCTTTTTCACATTATTTCTTAAAATCATTTTTCATCTCATCACATGGTTATAATTGCTTTTAATATGTCACAAAAACTGGTTTTTAAGTTTCTTTATTGCTGGACATTTAAATTGTTTCTGATTGTTCACAAGTTTAAACACTACAATGACTATCTTTTATTTTAAAGAGAAAAGCAGTAAAAACGATGATACAATTTCAAAACAAGATGATAGGAAGTTAACAATGGTTGTTATATTGCGTATTGTTATCTTCAGAGTAGCTGCTCAGATAAGGACTCTCTGATAGAAGGCTTTTCCGCACTTTGGAATCAGTGGTAGAACGAGTAAACAGCATTTGGATGACATGGAATTAATAGTTTTTTTTTTTTTTTTAGTATTAGGAATTGAACTCAGGACCTTGCGCTTGCCAGGCTGGTGCTTGTGCCGCTGAGCTGTATCCCTGGCCCTAAATGAATGGTTTTAAGAGGCCACACATACTAGCATCTTTCTGAAAGGGTTGTAGGAGTTAATGCTAAGTGCTACCTCTTGAGATGTTGCTGGCAAGAGGACAGTGGGCAGAGGGCTGGAAGAGAAGAACGTGCTGCCTCCCGAAGCAGACGGGTTTGAACCTACATGAGACGGGAGGCAACCATTGTGATCACTGCAGAAAATGGGAGGTGCTTGCTCTGTCTCCTGTAATGATCTCTCTCCCCTTGGGCCTGGTGGCATTAATGGGGGAGGGCGGGGTTTCTGTACAGGTCGAGGTGCCAGCTGTGGAGTGGGCAGTGCTAGGAGGACACTTAATAGTAGCCTCAGGGAAGGATTATGTCCAGTCAGCGGCTTCCCCTCAGTGTCGCAGTGGCCTAGTGGAGAAGTTGAGCTGAGCTGCTGTTGCTCCTCGGGGAATGAATCTGATGAGAGTGAGAAAAGACTGCTCCCCAAGGAAGGTGAGATTTCTGCTTCAAAAAAGCCGTTTCTGGTTACAGGTTCTGGCCATGGCGTTCTGCGTTTGTAGACCGCTACTGCCACCCTGTGATGGTCCCGAGCATTACTAGGCCTGGGATGGCTTCCCTGAGCTAAATCAGAAATAGCAAATCTTGATCGTTCAGCATCAGATGACAAACGGGCAAGCGCAGCCCTGCCAAGAGGGGGCAGTAGCGATCCAGCTTCCAATTTGTGGGGCTTGCTCGGTGGCACCAGTTTTCCATCTTTTTCCCTTAAAAATGCTATAAATTCAGTGGAGTTTTAATTATTTCTTTCATTTGTGGACACAGGTTAGAAAATGTTGGCAGTTCATTAAAAACTAAGTATGCTAACATACTCGGGTTAATTTGCACTAATGGTAGCTAATTTGTGATGTCTCAGAAATGCCCCTCTTGGGGCTGGGGATTTAGCTCAGTGGCACAGCGCCTGCCTGGCAAGCACGAGGTCATGAGTTCGATTCCTGGTACCGGAAAACAAACAAACAAACAAAAACAAAACAAAAATGGCCCTCTTATGCCAGGGTGCTTCTAGTAGTGTAGTTCAGTGGTAAAGGGCTTGTCTAGTATGTGAGTGAAGCCCTGGGTTTGACCCCCCAGCACTTCAGAATCAACCACAAAAAATGCCCCTTTCTTAATGACATCTGAGAGTTACACATTTTTTCTAACAACTTATAGCAAATATTAGGTCACAGAATTGATTTCCACTGAAAACTCTTTTGGGTATCCACACATGTGCAGCTTAATGTCAACCTAAGCAAAATATTTGAGAGTGGGAAGCCACAGGGACAATACTCAAAGGATTTTTCCCACAGACATTTTTAGACTCTCAGATATTTTAGTGTACCTCCTACCAGTGTCTGGTTGAAGAAGCTCTATCTTTGGAAATCCAAGTTGCTCTTTTCTTCCAGTCTCACTTTGTGTCCCCCCTCCTTTAAATAATTTCATTTCCTAGGGCATGTCCTGGCTGAATTTCTGGCTCCAGCAAGTCTATTAATATTCTCAGCTCAGTCTTCCTTTCCCATGGGCTGGCTGAGATCCACGCTGCCGTAGCAACTGTAAGATAGTGCATGTGTTCTTTCCTGTGCACAGGTGAACCAGGTAGCAGGGCTTCTGTGGCTGTGGGCAGAGGTGGATCAGGGTTGCTGGAGTGAACCAGGGCACAGACTGGTTTTCTTCCATGCTTGCTAATTCACCTTGGAGTTATGTGACCCTCTTTTAAACTGGCCCAACAGTCACAGCTCACTGAAACACACCCGTACCTAGATGTGCTTGCCTGTTTCTTGCTGCCCCACCCCAGGCCTTTTGCAGACCTCGTGATGGTGGTGACTTTGGAGCAGGGTTATCCTGTCTGAGCACGGCAGGAATTACTTCTCTCTCCCCTCAGCAGCTCAGCGTCTGGTGCTTTTCCATTCTCTCTAGACCCTTTCCTGTGCTGTATTAGCGCAAGTCGGCTGGGAAGCTGCCAGGACAAGCCTGCCAGGGAGCCCTTTGACTTTTGTCAGCTTCCCGGTGCCCTGGCTGATCAGACTGTTGGCTGCGTGAAACAGCGTGGAATTAGCCTCACTGGAGTCCGGGTTGTGAGCCAAGCAGCTAGAATTAAAAAGCTCAGTCTTGCCTGGCTTGTCTTCCGCCACTTTGGGATGAGTCTCTGTGTACTCATAGGGTGCTGAGCCAGGGGCATGCTATAGAGTAAAAATCAGGTGGCTTCTGGCAATTGGCAGACTTGAGTTATGAATAATGTCTCAAACTAAATGACCTTGGTCAAGTCACTAAGACTTTCTTAGCCTCAATATCTTCATCTATAAGATAGGGGTAAGAATTTTTGCTGGGTTGTCCCAAGGAAAAGATAACATATGTCCCAAGGAAAAGAAGTTATTGGCATAGTCCATGGCAACCAGTAGGTGCTCAATAAACACCAGCTGCTTTAATTTTGTTGCAGGAAGAGCTTACATTTCCTACAATAGTTGCATGTATCATTGTGATTCTGGGGAATGGCGAATGGGAAGAGAGAGCAATCCTGACTGAGAGACAACAGGCGCTCTTACAGGTCTGGCTGAGGGCATTGTAGGAATATTTTATGGAATGGTTTGTCTTGACTGAGGACCAAGCCAGGGAGGGATTGCAGGCTTCAGATCTGGGTTACTGTGTAGTATTCCAGCAATGCAGCCTGCAGACTCAGAGGTGAGGAGTGGGGAGGAGGGTGTTCCAGAATACCCAACAAGTCAAGAATCAGGAGCAGAGCTGGGTGACAGAGGCAAGAACATTTGGTGTTTGGGCTATGCCTTCATCTCTCCTGGCCTTTGGTTTCCCCACCTGCAGAATGGGGATGCAGATATATTCTCTGCCAATGGTGTGCAAAGAGTGAGAAGCCGTTACAGCGCTTTGAAGACAGGCAAGCAAGCGCTGGCTGTGACGACCCAGGAAAACCTCCCTTTTATCTAGGTGGGATGGCAGCCAGTCTGAACAATGAGATAAAAATAAATTGCTCTTCGATTCCTTTGCTGTATACAGCTTCTTAAAAGTATTTGCTAAATAAAAGTCTTTGGGGGAATCAGCTTGAAGAATAAAGAGTAGTAATTGGTGTATCAGTTTTCATCCTGTTGCAGCAGTGTCTCTCATGTACTTAAAAAGAGTTTATTCTTTTTAAATTACATTTGTTAACATTATGTATCTGTTTGTCAAATCCGTTTTACAGAATGCAAAGGTAAAGCCAGGCTTTAAAAAAATGCCAAACAGGCCCTCCATAGTATTGAATTTTTAAAAACCTTTAGCATTTGAGCAAGGGCGGCTTTCCTGCCTGGGTGAGCCCAAAGGCGTTTGTGCTGTATGGCCTCCCTCACCGCCCCTGCTCCCTCACGCCCAAGTCCAGCTCCATTGTCTATTTTTATTTGCTAGTGAGCCTGAGCTGCTGGGTGAAGCTGGAGCAACCGGCATAGCCGTGGTTCTGGCGCTCAGCGTTTATGGGTTCCGCATGCAACATAGTCTGAGCACTGCACGGCAATCCTTTTTGAACAAAGATCCTTGAGTCGCCAGCCCTAGCCCTGCTCCCTTAGTTTTTTTGCTGTTTGTTTTTCACTCCCACTGTAGTGCCTAAGCCAGGCCATTTTGGCTAAAAGCCTTTGTGATGGTGAATCTGGTGTCCTCATTTTGGTCCTGGTCACAGTCCAGCTCTTTGCAGCACTTGACATTCTCCTCTTAGGCTTCTTGCTCGGCACGCCCCCGCCCCTTGATGTCCTTTTCCTGCTTTCCTTTGCCATGGTTTCCTCCTGCCCTAAATGGGAGTGTTCTCCCAGCTTCATTCTTGCCTCTGCTTGGGTGTCTTGTTGGGCAGACTTGACCTCACCTGTGGTTCAACACGAGTATCTACCTTGATGACTGCCAGATAATGTATCTTTACTTCTGAATTTCCCCCTAAGTGCTAAAACATATATGATCTGGAAGAGTGTATTATACATCTTGGCCTAGATTTACCATATGGTGGAT